GTGTGTGTGGTGTGTGTGTGTGTGGTGTGTGTGTGTGTGTGTTGTGTGTGGTGTGTGTGTGTGTGTGTGTGTGGTGTGTGTGTGTATGTGGTGTGTGTGTGTGGTGTGTGTGTTGTGTGTATGTGTGGGTGTGGTGTGTGTGTGTTGTGTGTGTGTGTGTGTGTGTGTGTGTGTGTGTGTGTGTGTGGTGTGTGTGTGTGTGTGTGTGTGTGTGTGTGTGGTGTGTGTGGTGGGTGTGTGTGTGGTGTGGTGTGTGGTGTGTGTGGTGGTGTAGTTGTGTGTGTGTGTGTGGTGTAGTGTGTGTGTGTGTAGTGTGTGTGTGTGTTGTGTGTGTGTGCGTGTTGTGTGTGGTGTGTAGTGGTGTGTGTTGGTGTGTAGTGTGTAGTGTGTGTGTGTGTGGTGTAGTGTGTAGTGTGTGTGTGTGTGTATGTGTGTGTTGTGTGTGTGTGTGGTGGTGTGTGTGTGTGTAGTGTGTGTGTTGTGTAGTGTGTGTGTGTGTGTGTAGTGTAGTGTGTGTGTGTAGTGTGTGTGTGGTGTGTGTGTGGTGTGTAGTGTGTGGTGTGTGGTGTGGTGTGTGTGTGTGTGTGTAGTGTGGTGTGTGTGTGTGTGTGTGTGTGTGTGTGTGTGTGTGTGTGTGTAGTGTGTGTGTGTGTGTAGTTGTGTGTGGTGTGTGTGTGTGTGTGGGTGTGTGTGTGTGTGTGTGTGTGTGTGGTGTGTAGTGTGTGTATGGTATGTGTGTGTGTGTGTGTGTGTGTGTATGGTGTAGTGTAGTGTGTAGTGTGTGTGTGTGTGTGTGTGTGTGTGGTGTGTGTTGTGTATGTGTGTAGTGTGTGTGTGGTGTGTGTAGTGTGTGTGTGGTGTGTGTGTGTGTGTGTGTGTGCAGTGTGTGTGTGTGTGTGTGTGTGTGTGTGTGTGTGTGTGTGTGTGTGTGTGTGTGTGTGTGTGTGGTGTGTGTGGTGTGTGTGTGTGTGTGTGTGGTGTGTGTGGTGTTGTGTGTGTGTGTGTGTGTGTGTGTGTGTGTGTGTGTGTGTGTGTGTGTGTGTGTGTGTGTGTGTGTGTGTGTGTGTGTGTGTGTGTGTGTGTGTGTGTGTGTGTGTGTGTGTGTGTGTGTGTGTGTGTGTGTGTGTGTGTGTGCGTGTGTGTGTGCGTGTGCGTGTGCGTGTGTGCGTGTGCGTGTGCGTGTGTGTGTGCGTGCGTGTCATTTTACAAATAAGAGTAAGAACGGAACATGGGTTGAAATGCTCACCATAAATAAGTGGACGGGTGATGAAGGCAGCGTTGAAGGTCGTAGATCTCCCAAAATCCGATTCGACGTAATAAAGTCATCGCTTGTTATTGGCGCACAAGCGAGGTCCCCTACGCCCTTTCAAGACCTGAAAACAACAAGAGATGTAAGTCACAGTACGTATACAGAGGCTGTTAAGGCAATGGGACTACTGAACGACGAAGCTACATGGTTGCAGACTATTTTGGAGAGGGAGTGGCGGATAAACTGAGACAGAGGCACCTGTAGAATGGTATAGCGAAGAGGATGTTGGTGTGCACGCATGCATATGTGTATATATATATGAGTGTGTGCGTGCGTGCGTGCGTGTGCGTGTGTGTGTGTGTGTGTGTGTGTGTGTGTGTGTGTGTGTGTGTGTGTGTGTGTGTGTGTGTGTGTGTGTGCGTGTGTGTGTGGCAAACTGGGATTCTCTGATTATCTATGCTTGAGGGTAAAACGAGCTTGTAGCATGTGGAAGATGTTGAGTGAGGGTCTGGTAGCTGAAAGTTTTATTTTTTTGTTTCCGATTCCTCTTTAGTGATTTCCTTTCATTTTTTATAGATCTAATGATGCACTTTTTCTAATTCACTTCTTACCTGGTAATGCAATTTATATTCTGTTTTTCTACAGCTTGTTATAATAAAGTACTGTTTACTCTTACAAAAAAGTATGTACCTGTATGTCCTTCAGGAAATGTAAATATGAATATTCATCTCTATAAAAACATACACAGAAGAGTATAAACATACATTCAAAGCTCACCTGGCAAGCGGTGGTTGGTTCCCTGCACTATGGACTTCTCGTCAGTATTGGCGGCCATGAACAAGCACTCTGCGTCGTTGAGGTAACGTGGGGCGCGGAGGAGCTTGTCGTAGTTGAAGTCTCTGTAATTTTTTATCAAATTTTAGTAATTTTTAGAATCTATCAGCAAGTCCGTCCGCCGCCCCCACCCCCGCCCGCCGACCGGTCGTCGGTGTTGCGCGCGCGCGGACTCGGTAGCTAGTGTTGCGGGAACAAGCAAAATGGCCGAGGCGGTAGATGATGGCTTCGGGAGTTTTATCTGTTGGTCAATTGCAAAGCAGGAATTAGTGAAAATGATTTTTCGCGCAATGCAACTTAATAGTTCTGAGGAAAGGTCTGACGTCAGAGGTATTATTTCCGAAAGACTGCGAGCTGACTCTCCCTGCCATCGTATACATGTCTGTGGGTAAGAGAGGACAATTGCGGGGAAGTAAAACAACGAATTTTGGAATTAGTTACTTGGCAACCTTTCGTTTTGTCAAACGACAAATTTTGAGATTATGGCACTGTCCTGTTGCGTGTTACGGGAATTATTATAAAATTTCCACTTCGCAGATGAATGTGCCTGATTGAAGAAAAGACGAGGATATCCTAATTCTGAAAATGTCTCAAAAATAACGTAAAACTCACGATCGATGAATTCGGTATCGCAAACCCTTTAAGCCCTCAGGAACACTGACGAGACAACCGATTTCTTAATATAAAGCAGGTAATTCTAGAAAAAATGAAGATAATTTTGTTTGGCTATTCGTCCGGCATACTGTAGGGGTTATCATGACCTTTCCCCTAGTTTGCGGGGCCGTAGGAGCCAACGAGACCTAAGCCTCCGGCCTCCTGTTTCGGCACAGAGTAATTTTCATGTTCTCGTGGTGTGATGTCGATACTGGTAGCGTGTTTCACAGACAAAAGTTTCGACCAAAGCATATATCATAGAAAAATAGATAATTGATTCAAAGTGCGTGTAATTGATAAAACGTAACATTAAAATCAAAGCAAATGAGACTCGTGACTAATTTAAAACAAAGTTAAAAAACAAATTCAATGAATCAGTAAACTACGTTACGCTTTGTCAGTTATCAATGCATCCACAGGAAGTTATTTATTTCAAAGTTATCTTTAAAATCAAGCCATTAAAATGTCTGTTATCATTTCCTTTATATATCCCATTCCTTAGTAAACTGTAAATAATAAATGTGAATCATAAATGGTAAACGAAACAAAAGGCAAAACCCAAACTATTATTATTAAAATCACAAAAACGTTAACACATAAAGCATAACATAAGCAAAACCTCCGAAACATTAAAAGCAAAGGAAATGTACGTAAAAGTGGGGCAATTTAAAATAAAACTGATAAAACAATACCTGTTACAACTGCAGACTCACTGTAAGATCCATTGGTTAAAAGCGTAAAACAGAGAAAACACAAATAAAAAGAACAAAGCTTAAAAAAAAAACACGGTTATCTGAAGGATAACCCAGCCGTAGCTTAATGACTCGATGCCTGTGCGCAACTCAACTCAGGTGGTTGACCCCACCATATTTATGGTAACAAGGTCGTGCGCCAGGAGATGTTCGCGCATCAAGACTCATTTTACTGTTAAATGTCGTCTGCTTTAAAGAATAAATACCTAAAAATGCGAATTTACTAAAGATTGCCGTGTTAAATTAAAAATAAAAGGAGGTTCTTTACAAAGAAATACATATAAAATAACAGTAATATAAAAAGAAAGGAACATATATACAAGAATTTAAACAAGCGATAAAATGGTTTTCCGTGGGCTAGTTGAAGGGGTTTGGCGCTAAATGCCCGTTGAAGATTTTCTTCAACCTCTTGTCCGTCGCCATCTTGGGCGCCATCTTGCCAAATCCATATTTTCGAGGGCGACCTCCCGACGTCATCCTTCACAGGCCTCGAGTAGGAAATCGGGGCGTCGTCGGCTCGTAATACTGGCCATCTCTCCTCGTAATTTGGAAGAAATGCCCAGGGCGTCGCCATCGTCCTCCTACAGCGCCTCCGTCAGGTGCACCCTTCTGCAGTGCCTCCGTCAGCGCCTCCGTCGGGATCCTCACGCCCTGGTCCAAAATGCGTTTTCTTTTCTCGGGGCTTCTTAGGGGGGTTCCGGTGATGCTGAGCGGGGTGTGGGTCGTCAGAAGAGGCAGTAAGAGCGGCAGCTCACTACAATACACTATTTGCGCGCAAACACACTCGCGCATTAGCCTTGCATGCAAACTTTGGCGCTGTTTTTGTGTTGTTCATTGTTCATGACTAAGGGTCGATCATCGATCATGGTATTCCTGAATTTGCCAGTTTTGCTGATGTGAAGGACAGCTTGACCAAATTCCAAGAGAACACTTTCGCACAGGTTTATGTCAAAGATTCAAGGACTGTTGCTGCAACTTTGAAGCGTACACCGGATAAAAAAGTAAAGCCAGAGTTGAAGTGCTCCTACTTAGTGAGGGGGTCAGGGGGAGAAGCCCCCGATAGGTAAATATGGCAATCGGGAGGGATTTTTTATTTATAAGGCGAACCTACTGGCAGTTCCTGCGTTTAAGCTGCAGTCCACTCGCTCGTTCGTTCGCGCAACACCGTGTCGAATCACTCGTGGCTGAATCTTCTCTCGGGTTCCTACATTTTTCACTTTCTTTATCATCTGAAATGCTATCCTTGGCTCGGATTTCCAAATACCCACATTCTTTTGCTTTTTAAAATGTATGGTATGAACGAAATCCCCCCCCCCAACCCCCGATTCCCTACGGGATCCCTCAACATCGTTGGCGGGCGTCGGGGACTTCTCCGACGGGTGCGGTCCTTTCGTCTAGAGGCACGAGTGAGAGAGAGAGAGAGAGAGAGAGAGAGAGAGAGAGAGAGAGAGAGAGACAGAGACAGAGACAGAGACAGAGACAGAGACAGAGAGACAGAGACAGAGACAGAGACAGAGACAGAGACAGAGAGACAGAGAGACAGAGAGATAGAGAGACAGAGAGACAGAGACAGAGAGAGAGAGAGAGAGAGACCGTCTCATATCTCACCTGTCCGCCGGGCGGCGGCCCGGCGGTCCTTTGTCGACATGGCCTGCACGCTGCCCTCGAAACTGCGTCCCCTGACTCGCCGCCGCTCGCTGAGGCCGCCATATATTACGGCGAAGATTTCGGTGCTGAAGATATACACCAGGAACCGACGAACAGCAACGCACCATACACACATGCTCTCGGGAGCGCGGCGGTAGAGCGACTGGCCTCTCGCCCTCTGAGAGCCTCCCGCGCCGCCCGCTCCCACAGTCTTTCCAGACGGCCTGGTGCCGCTCCGCCCAACCACCGAGAGACAGAGAAGGAGGGGGGAGAGAGAGAGAGAGAGAGAGAGAGAGAAGGAGGGGAGGGAGGGGAGAGAGAGAGAGGGGGGGAGAAAGGTAGAGAGAGAGAGAGAGAGAGATTTGAAACGTTTATTGAGGTAACAGTGTACATCAAATGGATGGTGACATGTGTCATCTCCACCCTATTCTTATTATGTCTCCCCCTTAGAGGCTCACATTAGTATAGCAAAAATACAGTTAAATACACAATTTACAAGTCTCCCACAACCAGCTTTTCCATGTTTCTGTACCGAACCGTCACAATATACATGCAAACTATTTGCTTTAGGAAGATTCCTGATCTTATGACCGTATACAGGTTTTAACTGACCAATTTATCTTCGGGAATGGAGGGGGGAGGGGGGAGGGGAGAGGAGATGTTGGAAAAGAAATCATAAATACGAAAAAGATTGACGAAAAAAAACATAACAGAAATAAAAGAATGAATCCAAATAAGAAATAAAAGAGAGAAAAATTGAGAAAGGCTCATCTGATTTATTCATACTGTGGTTCAATATCAACTTTCACCTCCTGTTCTTCCCAAGGCGCTATTTTTTCTCTTCTCATGGACTATGCACGTCTATTAAATCATAGTCTAATATCATTTAAGACCAAACTGTATTCATAAATTTGCACCAGTACTTTCCCCATCTTTGTAAATAGAACAGCCAATAGTCAAACTGTATCTTGAATAGATATTCCTTTTTCACGATAGGCTAGCCAGCGGTGGCAGCTGTAAACGAAAAGGCGTGCAAGCACTTAAGGGGGCATAAGCTCTTAGATACCCACTCTTTCCTTGCCTACAAAATGTCCTTGTATTTTCCATCCCTCCTAGCATATTTACAAGCATCCTCCCGCTGTTACTTCTCATGAACCGAATGGCTGCAGCCAAGTTAATTTCCTTGACCCGATGTTCTATACTCTGCAATCCCAGTTCTGTTCTCATAATGTCAACCCTCGTATTCCTGGGGCATCCTAAAATGACCCTCATGGACTCGTTTTCCTTATTCTCCCTTTACCAACGAAAGAGAGAACCGGGGCTGCATAGTCAACAATCGACCTGACTATACTCAAATATACCATCCTTAGAATGGGAATGCCCGCTCCCTCCCCGCATTATGGGCGACCTCCAAGGATGAGGTTACCTGGAAGTCGGCCTCGAAGACCTTCCACTTCGTCCTGGGTTCTTGGGGGACTTCCTGGGTCTCCTTCTCGGGCTCTTCTCCTGGGTCTCCTTCTCGGCTTTTGGGGACTCTCGGCCTCTTTGGGGACTTCCTGGGTCTCCTTCTCGGCCTCTTTGGGGATTTCCTGGGTCTCCTTCTCTAGCTTTTGGGGGACTTCCTGGGTCTCCTTTTCGGCCTCTTTAGGGACTTCCTGGGTCTCCTTTCGGCCTTTGGGACTTCCTGGGTCTCCTTCTCGGGCTTTTGGGGGACTTCCTGGGTCTCCTTTTCGGCCTCTTTGAGGACTTCCTGGGTCTCCTTCTCGGCCTCTTTGGGGACTTCCTGGGTCTCCTTCTCGGGCTCAAGGGCGACCTCCAAGGAAGAGGTTACCTGGAAGCGGGCTTCGAAGACCTTCCACTTCGTCCTGAGAGGAGGGAAGTGGAGGAACGTCTTCTCGGGCTCAAGGGCGACTTCCTGGGTCTCCTTCTCGGACACAAGGGCGACTTCCTGGGTCTCCTCGGACTCTCGGCACTTCCTGGGTCTCCTTCTCGGCCTCTTGTGGGACTTCCTGGGTCTCCTTCTCGGGCTCTTGGGGGACTTCCTGGGTCTCCTTCTCGGGCTCTTGTGGGACTTCCTGGGTCTCCTCTCGGGCTCTTAGGGGATCTCTCTTGGGGCGTCCTTCTCGGGCTCTCTCGGACTTCCTGTCTTCCTTCTCCGGGCTCAAGGGGACTTCCTGGGTCTCTTCTCGGCCTTTGTGGACTTCCGGGTTCTCCTTTCTCGGTCTCTCGGTCTCCTTCTCTCGGCTTTAAGGGACTTCCTGGTCTCCTTTCGGCGTCTTTGGGACTTCCTTGGTTTCTTCTCGGCCTTTTGGGGGACTTCTGGTCCCTTCTCGGTCTCAAGGCGACCTCCAAGAAGAGTTACCTGGAAGGGCCTCGAAACCTTCCACTCGTCCTGGGGGCTTCTCCTTCTCGGGGACTTCCTGAGTCTCCTCTCGGCCTCTTGGGGACTTCCTGGGTCTCCTTCTCGGCCTCTTGGGGACTTCCTGGTCTCCTTCTGCTCTTTGGGGACTTCCTGGTCTCTCTCGGCCTTTGGGATTCCTGGTCTCCTTCTCGCCCTCTTTGGGATCCTGGTCTCTCTCGGCCTCTTTGGGGGACTTTCCTTCTCGGCCTTTTTGGGACTTCCTGGGGTCTCCCTCCTCGGCCTCTTTGGGACTTCCTGGGTCTTCCTTTCCTCTTTTCCCCTCCGTTCTTTCGGGCTTTTGGGGGACATCCTGGGTCTCCTTTTCGGCCTCTTTGGACTTCCTGGGGTCTCCTTCTCGGCCTCTTTGGGGACTTTCCTGGGTCTCCTTCTTCGGGCTCAAGGGCGACCTCCAAGGAAGAGTTACCTGGAAACGGGTTTCGAAGACCTTTCCACTTCGTCCTGAGAGGAGTGGCAGTGAGAGACGTCTTTCTCGGGCTCAAGGGCGACTTCCTGAGTCTCCTTCTCGGCTCAAGGGCGACTTCCTGGTTCCTCTCCCTCTTGGGGACTTCCTGGTCTCTCCTTCTCGGCCTTTGGGGGACTTCCTATCCTTCCGGCCTCCAAGGGGACAACTTCCAAAGGAAGGGTTCCTGGAAAAGTCCGGCCCTTCCGGGCCTTTCACTCTCGCTCCTGGGTTCTGGGGGAACTTCCTGGGTCTTCCTTTTCCTCGGGCTCAAGGGGAACTTTCCCTGGGTCTTCCTTCTT